GGTCGATCTACATCCTGTGGGATGGGTCAGTTTTGCGGTAGTAAATATAAATGTACAAATGTATTCTGTCGGCATCAAATATGTTTTAAATCTATAACATAAATAACAAATGCCTAGCTGGGTTTGTGAATGCAAATCTTAAAACAAATGAACTGAAGCAAAGTGCTATATATACAAGTATATATATATATATATATATATATATATATAAGGATGCAGTTCATAACTGAACAACAAGCAACAAAAAAACAAACCAAGCTCCCCTCCCCTTTCCCACTTGTGTCATAGTGGCAATTCTCGGTTTACCATTTACTCTCCTTCCCACTTTCGTCTTCCGATGGTACACATTTGATTAGCGCCACATATTGAATTAATAAATAATATTTGTTTGTTAAAAAAATAGTTTAACTACCAACAGCAAACAAAATTAGAAGGGCACATAGTTTGAGTGCGTAGCTCTGTGCTTCTCTAGAATGCTTCAAACAGACCCCCAGTATTCAATCACATGCTATTTCTAGGGGATTAGAGACGATTATTTTCCCTTCTAAAAAATGCTAATCTAGAGGTGGACCAGAGAGAAGACTCCAGAGATACAATGACGTGGTCATTTTGCTATAAAGTGGGTAACTTTTGAAGAGTTAAAATAAATGGAGAGAGAAAACCCAAACAAATGAGTACTGGTCCTGCGTTTATGTGTTAGACTGGAATAGAGCAGAGTGAGTGAAGAAGACTGCCCTCTATGGTCACTGCATGTCAGGATTGATGTAGGAGAACTCCTTGAACTCATTCTGGTTGATTGATTTGATAACAGCTGGCTCCGTTGGGGTCAACACTGGCTCCTCTTTGGTGAAGTCTTGATCAAAGTTGTTGGCGTCTTTCTTTGTTTTCTGTAAGTTTACAAATTGTTATCACCTTGAGTTTCCACTTATTCAATAAAGTCACATGGATGGATGTTGTAAAGCCAACAATTGCATGGATGTTGTAAAGCCAACAATTGCATGGATGTTGTAAAGCCAACAATTGCATGGATGTTGTAAAGCCAACAATTGCATGGATGTTGTAAAGCCAACAATTGCATGGATGTTGTAAAGCCAACAATTGCATGGATGTTGTAAAGCCAACAATTGCATGGATGTTGTAAAGTCAACAATTGCATGGATGTTGTAAAGCCAACAATTGCATGGATGTTGTAAAGCCAACAATTGCTTGGATGTTGTAAAGTTAACAATTGCATGGATGTTGTAAAGCCAACAATTGCATGGATGTTGTAATGTCAACAAATGCATGGATGTTGTAAAGTCAACAATTGCATGGATGTTGTAAAGTCAACAATTGCATGGATGTTGTAAAGCCAACAATTGCATGGATGTTGTAAAGTCAACAATTGCATGGATGTTGTAAAGTCAACAATTGCATGGATGTTGTAAAGCAAACAATTGCATGGATGTTGTAAAGCCAACAATTGCATGGATGTTGTAAAGTCAACAATTGCATTGATGTTGTAAAGCCAACAATCGCATGGATGTTGTAAAGCCAATAATTGCATGGATGTTGTAAAGCCAACAATTGCATGGATGTTGTAAAGCCAACAATGCATGGATGTTGTAAAGCCAACAATTGCATGGATGTTGTAAAGTCAACAATTGCATGGATGTTGTAAAGTCAACAATTGCATGGATGTTGTAAAGTCAACAATTGCATGGATGTTGTAAAGCCAACAATCGCATAGATGTTGTAAAGTCAACAATTGCATGGATGTTGTAAAGCCAACAATCGCATAGATGTTGTAAAGCCAACAATTGCATGGATGTTGTAAAGCCAACAATCGCATAGATGTTGTAAAGCCAACAATCGCATAGATGTTGTAAAGTCAACAATTGCATGGATGTTGTAAAGCCAACAATTGCATGGATGTTGTAAAGCCAACAATCGCATGGATGTTGTAAAGCCAACAATCGCATAGATGTGTCCCAGCATACAAACAAGCTAGACATAAAATGCTTTTCAAGTAGCACCAAGTGGCATCAAACCAGAGAAAATATTACGGCAATTACAACTCCACAGTGCACGAGAAATACTCACAATTTTAGGTCTGAAGGGTGGTTTGATTTTCTTAGTTTCAAGAGCTTCCCATTCAATATCTCTGAAAAATGCGTGATCTCTGATGGCTTTCTCCATACCCTGGGACTCCATACATCCAAGTCTCTTGGCTGGGTTCTTGGTCATAAACTAGCGAGATAAAAAGTACAAGAATTTAAAATGCATGTATGATGGGATGGGATCTCGTCTAAAATGACCAAAACATAGAGATATACTGTGAACTGTTGTAATTTTTCGAGACACTAATTTTCATAAATTTCAGGAGTAAGTGTTTATCGTAAAATTTTGTAGCAGTGAAAAAATTCTTCGGGGGCAAACGACACAGTATCAGCAACTTTTGCAGGTTCAGTCTTCACAAATGCCATGAAATCATCAATTCGGGAAAATTACAAGCAGTAAAAATTAATTAAATTACAGTATTACAATATCCAAAAATACTTAAATGTTTTTATAATTCACATTAAAAGTGCTTCTCAAAATAGAATTTTCGCACTTCGATGAACTGGAAGTTATTTTTAACGACAGCCATTAGGAGGGTGTGGGGTTCTGTTATTATTACATATGTTCCATATTTGATTATTTCATATTAAAGAACATGCAACAAACTGGGATGGAATTTAGGTCGGGAACCCCATTGCCAATATGTTCCAAGATAGTGTTATGCCCTAGCAACGTGTGTCAGTGTAGAAAGCGTGGTACTGTCTGTGTGAAAAGAAAATAAACGTCTAATCTGAGTCACTGTCCGAATAAATAACTCATGGACGTTTAGTTGGGGCCACAACAGAACCAGAACTTGAACTGAACGACTGTGATACATAGTTTATGTTGAAGTTAAAAGTTCCTCCACAGGATTGTGCATTGGCAAACATGCCATGCAACTGTGGTACTCCACTGACGGGATGACTTTTATCCACAGCGGTTGTCGCTGAGCTGCACGCTACAACTGCGTTTGTGATGTTGCTTGCTGGTCATGGATTGAATGAGTCTCGGTTACCAGTTAAAATGTATTGGTATCAGTTAGACTGCTGACATTCTTGTGAACGGGATAAAAACAGCAGACAAAAATTTGTTTACAAAATAAAAATAGTTTGGTCGCCAATGGAAATACAATGTTCATTTGCATATTGACCATGAAGAAAACATTATTGCATGGGTGATATGCAAATTAGTTTTAGTCAAAATAAGTGACTGCCTAAAAGTACCATTACTGTTCAAATTTCATTTCACTTGGCAAGTATATTCATGTACCCAGAGAGAAAAATATCATACTTCTAAATATTGCTAATGTTTCGAAAAACGGTACTCTTGAAGGGACTACTTTGTTTGTGCTCAGACCTCATTTGCAAATGGGATGTGGAAATACCGATTTTGGTTGAATCAAAATAAAGTGCAGTACATATGTAATAATACTTTTATTAAGAAATCAATTTTCTAAGCTAATGGGTGTAGATGAGCAATTGTTGCTCTACTAAACCTAATAAATGTTACGATACTTCATATATGCGAGTCTTCTTCATATTAGTCAAGAATAAAAGCCATACCTAGTGTAACACTGGGTAACTGACTTAAACTGTAACTATAACACTGATAACAATAAGTAAACTCACCGCTTTCAGAATAGCCGTGGCTTCTTTACTAAGCCACACTGGATAGAGCACATCATCATGGAGAATTGATTCGAATAAATCATCTTCATTATCAGCTTCAAATGGAGGTTGTCCGGCCATCATTTCATACATGAGTACGCCTAGTGCCCACCAATCCACTGAGGGTCCATAGTCAAGCTCTTGCAAAATCTGAACAACCATTAAAAAATATGATTGAAGTTTTAGTGCGAAGCATAAAATTGTAAAATATGAACATCAGAGTCCATTCAAATATTTAAAGTGAGGGAGTCGTCACCTACGCATGCGTCAGATGGCCATAGCATGTCATTGTTTACAAACAAGCGTCTACCCATGAGCGTGCGTAGGCGATGACCCTCTCGCTTTAACAGTGATTGGCTCAACAGCTATATGTTATCTATGCCAATATGATATCACAATACCATTTCAGGATTGATCAATTTTGGGACGAGTTGCGCAATTCCGTTACCAATGCATATTCTATAAATATAGCAAAGAATAACCAACTCACCTCTGGGGCGATATAATCTGGTGTACCACAGAAAGTACTTGTTAGTTTGTCGTCCATGATGCCTTCTTTACACATACCAAAATCAGCTAATTTACAGTGCCCCTCTGCATCAAGGAGAATATTATCCAACTTCAAATCTCTGCAAAATTATCATAAAACAATATAAGAGGTGCATTTCCTCTCAAATTATGATAAACAGATTGATTAAAAAATTATGATATCAAATACTATAACTCTCTGAACACAACAAGGTTCTTTGGTTCTATTAACGGAACACAGACATTGCAATTTAATCAGCTAAAATCAGACACATGCAGCAAAGAGGTACACCCAACTTGCAGCAAAAGGAGGAAATGTACATGTACATAAAACCTAAAGAAACACTTTCAAATTTGACAGTTTTAATCGCCATACATACCTATAAATAACACCATGTCTATGTAAAAATTGTAATGCACATGTAACTTGGGATGCATAAAAACGAGCTCTCGGCTCATCAAACTTTCGTGCTCTTTGAATCTGAAACATGAGATCTCCACCATTCACATACTCCATTACAAAGAAAAGGCGATCCTGAATGGAAAAGAAAGAAGCAGTAGTTAGAAAACATCAATCACAAGTACCAAGTATGTTAGCACACTGTCATTAACATTTGTTGATATTCAACGATATTTATGAGTTATTCAAATTTAAATTGTTCTAGTACTTTGCATGATGACATTCTAACCCATAAACTAATTGTCCAATGTGCACAAAACAAACAATTATAGAGCCTGGCTTGGTAACACACCAAGTGGGAGTCTCTGTATGATACGCTGTATTAGGAGAATAAATGTTATCTCCTATACTGAAAATGTGTTCTTTAAATTTCAGGGTAACATTTTTGAACTCATGACAGCAAACAACACAGGCATGAATTATATGAAATAGTACCCAAGGAAACAACATGACTGCTAGTAGTGGCATTGCATTAAAAGTGGTGAACTCTAGCGAACACTCTAAAAAAAAAACATTCTTTCGGTGAAATAACAGTGCTGTGAACGCAGGCATGTATACAGAACAGTGCTGTGAACGCAGGCATGTATACAGAACAGTGCTGTGAATGCATGCACATATACAGAACAGTGCTGTGAACGCAGGCTTGTATACAGAACAGTGCTGTGAATGCAGGCTTGTATACAGAACAGTGCTGTGAACGCATGCACATATATAGAACAGTGCTGTGAATGCATGCACATATACAGAACAGTGCTGTGAATGCATGCACGTATACAGAACAGTGCTGTGAATGCATGCACGTATACAGAACAGTGCTGTGAACACAGGCATGTATACAGAACAGTGCTGTGAACACAGGCATGTATACAG